GGTAACATATGGGGAGAGCGATGATGAATACAGTAGGTATTATATTCAGCATTCTTGTCGACTTCTTTCGGCGATCGTTCCACTTTCCACTTCGTTGGCTCAAACCCTTGAATTCGTTTCGACCTTCTAAAAATAACTTCAATGTTGCAATAATCACCCATATCAATTACGCATAAACAAGAGAAAACGATAAATACCAAGCCGACTGTACGTAAACAGTTCAATGTCTTTAATGGAAAAGAAACGCATCGAATGGGAAAGTCGATTCTCTTGATGGCGTCCATTTTCCATTATACTCGTTTTTCCACTCTCAACGACGTACCAAAATGGTACTGTCACTTTTTATGGTGTCTCATAACGTGAAGTTGTGTGAAAATTTTAATACAAACGGAGAAATTTTAAAAAATAATAATAGTTAACAGGGTCCAAGCAAAAACTTACATAATAAAAGATTGGTATGTATTGTCTGTTTGAATTTCAAACATTTTTAAAAACTATAACTGTGAATTGGCTTCATTATGTAAATATAATGTTCTCTAGTTATAATTCATAGGTTTCATACAATTTTTCATACCACAAAGGTGGCAAACAAGCATACGGCTCGTCTGATGGTAAACAGTTACAAGAACATATAGACATCCACAACACAAGGGGTGTCATGTGCGGGTTGCATGCAGAAACTTAATGTACCCTTTTTGAAAAATCCCAAATCCCAGTCTCTAGGAAAAACCTCGGCAGGAAGCTTATTCTAATTATTATTTAGTTTTAGGAGTTCATTAAGTTTTTAAAAAAGAATCTTAAATTGTAAAAAAGTAAATAAGGGACCAACGCAATAAACCCTGTCAATTATAAAAATACTAGCTTTTACCCATGACATCGTCCGCGTACCCGAAATATGTTTACTAACTGAGATAAAAAGTAGCCTATATTCTTCACTATCCCAAATAGCACGTGTATGGTATACCAAATTTCATAGTGTTTGGCTAAGACGTTAAGGCGCTGTAAGATAATAAACAAACAAATACACTTTCACATTTATTATATTAATAAAGCTAATACTTATTTGAGGTTCATACAAATTCATCAATTACTAGATCGTAATGAAATCTTTTAGTAAATTCGGTACAATGGAATTAGGTAATTTCATACTGAATTCCGTACTATTCTTTTATCGGAACGATGTCATGAAAACATAGCTAAAAGGAACGCTAAAATCGAGGGGAGCGTATTACCTTCTATTTTTGGCGCCGCATTTTCAGTTTCAGTCAGTGTCCCGCGCGAGGCGCGTCGCTCGCCATCGGCATTGGATTCAGAACGCGAATTCGATATTTAAATTTAATAACATTCGAATTTTAAATATGACCGTTGACACGACGGCGACGTCTGTTTCTGGAATTAACATAAAAGTAAGTTCTGGAAATGGGAACTTTATTAGTACTAAAGTTGGAAACGGTTTTAATACGGCGTACTGCGGATGCCGTAGATAATTTTGGATTAGACCAAGTTAGGAACAAAGCAGTGCTAATCTGAATAGGTGTTAAATCTTTTGTAATCATTTTAATATTCCTACTAATATTGTGGGTTTAAAATCACAAGAGAACATACAAAATTGTGTGGAAAGAAAAAAACTTTATAATATTTTTGGTAATGGGCCAAATTTAAAGCAAACTATGTAGCCATGAAAATACTATATTTATTATGCAGAATGCATAATTTTAAAAGAAATATTCTAGAAACTAGTAATTAATTATGTATTTTGTCTAAAATAGCATATTTATTTGTACGTTCTATGATTTAAGGCCAACGATATTTATTTATATACATATTTTTTGTGAGTTTTACAGTTTTTACCAATGCACTCACTAAAAATTAAAAAATCAAACATTATAGTAATACAATATTGAAATAATAATAATAATAATAAAAATATATTAAATCTGAAATTAAGTTTGTTACCTCTTTAATCGTCACAAACTTTACATGTATTATTTGGGCTGAAGAAGGACATAGGCTACTTTTATCCCGGTTAATAAATATATTCCGATCACGCAATCGAAGTTGCGGGTAAAGATTAGTATCTTATCCTTACTTACTAATATAATAAAGTATTAACTAAATGATGTTTGTACTTTGTTATTTTTTTTAATATGAGAGATCTTGATAAGACAAAGAAATGCCAAAACAATAATATTTAGTAATTGTATATCTGTATGTCTGTCCATATGTTCGTTTCGGCGTCACACATAAATTACCAGAAGATTGAGTGCCAGAGAGGATTCCGGGGAGGTCGACCTGACAGGGTATATTGATAGCAATGGGACTAGTAGTCGACATCATTAAAAATGGGGAAGGCTCCAAATGTGAAAGTTTTCACATTTCACTCTTAAATAATTAACTGCGTAAGAATACCTTGCATATAAATCTATTAATAAAAATTTATCGCTATTTTCATATTTCGGTTGGGAATTTTTCAAATGCATTTTTGCCCTCACAATCTAAATTTTCAGTGTAAGCTGTAATTCAAAATTTGTATTTTGATAAGTATATTAACGTTTTAGTTCAGTAGCAAACCATTTTTTAAATAATCAAACAGAAATATTGATATGTTAAATTGTTTTTAAAAATAGACAATTGTGCCTTAATTCGTTATGTACACTCTTTAATTGTATTTCAATTGTGGTGTAGTATTATTAAAATTTATGTTCATTTTTCTCCGACATATGTAACGGAAAATTAACGAAGTCGCTGTGTTTCATCATTTCCGACAATTGTTTTCACTTCATTCGGAAGTCTTCTTCAGGTGATGTATGCGTTTTTGCATCACAGCGGCTCGCCTCGACCTGCGGCTTAGTTAGTTTAACAAACATTTGATTCATGCGTATGTCTGTGTTAAGAATTATAGCTTTAATAAATTTCGCCTGGCGACAATATCGTAAAAAAGAAAAAAAAATCGTGTCTATTGTTATCGAATGTGTCGGTTCGTTGTCGTCGTTCTCGTTTTCGAATCTTATCGCGCGCGTGCATATATTGCCGCGAATATCGTTCAAATTAATAAACTTAAAGAGCATCTTCTATCTCTATGAACATACATTTATTTATCTATATATGTAGGTATATATTTATGATTATGTGTATTTGTACGATTAAATTCTTCATTATTATGTTGTTTTGTTATATGTAATATGTATAATTTATATTATTTTTCTTAAGTATTTAACTAATGATATTATTAAAATGAATGGTTTGTTTAGTGTATGTGTAAATAAATAAATAAATAAAATAAATATAATGTAATTAAATTAATTTTGTCTGTTTAAAAAATGTACACTGCTGTATCCGCTGACATTGATGCTCCTTTCCACTTTGGGTTTGCTGGAAGAAAACTCTATCAGAGTTAAGCTCGCCTTTATACTTTTGATTACCTCTGTCATATTTTTATAACTAATGTGTACAATAAAGTATTAAATAAATAAATATATCATTTCGTATGGCTTTTAATTATATAACACATAACCAAGAGGCTGATTGAGAGGAAGGCATTGCACTGCTGGTTGGTTCAAGGCGGTGGATAGGTAATCCGAATCTGAGGGTAAATTCGAACGAGCCAAAAGTTCTGGGAGACCTAATGCCAGAACCGAATCCTGCTAACTACCAAGCTACAAGGCCAGTGGTCTCCACCTTCATTATCCTCTTGTGTTTATTATTTACTTACCATAATCGTAATAATTTTCATACAGTCCACTAATAACCGTTGCCGGACGATTAATTTCAGTTTGTAACATCTTATTTTACGAACGGTTAACAGTATTAGTCTGATTATATCTAAAAAAGATGCATTTTAGAATTTCAATCACTTTTCTATTAATCTTAATACAAGTTCTGCTTAGTTTGGGACTAGATGGCACTGTTTTTAATAAATAACAAAATAAATTGAGTCTTACTCCCTCGTCAAGTTATTAATTAATTCCGGACAGACAGACACACCCGCCCTAGTGAGGTTAATGCCTCGGCGTTTTCATTTGTTTAGTCCGACCTGTTACTCTTAATTAATATACAAATTTATTACAATGATAAACAAGCTCACGGTAGACCTGTTGGAAAATAGTAACTGTATAACGTCTACATACATGAGTGTCCATTTCCCCTTCATCCACATGTATATTGCTTATTGGGTCAGGCCGACCTCCAAGCGGTTTCCTCTGGAAACCATCGTGATGAATACTGGCTTGCATTTTCATTCTCATTTATCATCCCTTACTGGTGCCCCGCCAGTGTATACTGCAGGTGAGATTATCATTCCATTGTCATCTATTAAAAAAATTACACGGGGGGGGGGTTTGCTCGTAATGCGGGCTACCAGTCTCATTGCTGCAATATACCCTAACAGGTCGACCTCTAAGCGGTTCCCTCTGGAAACCATCGTGGTAATTTTTTGTGGAATTCATCATGATGGGCTAACTGGCCTGTTTTCATTCTCATCTATTACCCCTCACTAGTGCTCCGCCAGCGTATCCCGTTAGCGTACGCGGAGTTATCTATCCATTTTCACCCATCAAAAAAAAATCAATCTGCTGATCGTAGTAACTGTAAAGCTCCCCATCAGGAAGAGGGGTTGGGGGGGGGGAGTAGTTCAGTAGTGAGCAGTTAATTCATTGCAGCCTTATGGAATTCATCTCAATGGGTTAACTGACCGCCATCGTATACAGATAGCGTAGGCGGCCATATTATACTATAAGTACAATATGCACAACCACTCTTTGGAATCAACTTCCAGCAGCAGTATTTCCGAACCGATACGACATAATCTTCAAGAAAAGAGCATATTTCTTTTTAAAAGGCCGGCAGCACACCTGCAATGCCGTTGGTGTTGTGGGTGATCATGGACGGCGGTAGTCACTTACCATCAGGTGACTCACATGCTAGTTTGCCCCTTGTGTTTAAAAAAAAATAAGTAAATGTATAAAAGCATAGAAATAAATAAATTATTTTGTTTGTTGCAGAGTTCCCAAAACCGGCTACTAATCAAGAATGGGCGTGTCGTCAACGATGATGGAATGGAGGACGCTGATGTCTACATCGAAGATGGTATCATCAAGTAAGTTCTTTCTGCTCTAATATACATCTGGAAAGCAGTTACACAATGACGCTGATTCATATTAACACTTCACTAAAATGCATATTACACAATTGTGTGAAATTTCATAAGATTTTTTTCAGTCCTTAAATTAAAAAAAAATCTTGTTAATACTAATAATCATATGATTTTACATCGCATTGCTGTAAACATAGAGCATAAGATATATCTAGATGAAGCATTGAATGTGAGAAAACGTCCAAAAAACGTTCAACCAACCGTTGACTTATTGGCTCATGTTGTTGAATTGTTGTTGTTGAAAGGTTATCCTTACTAATATTTATTATAAATGAGTTTATTTAGAAACCGATTTGGTACATGTATGTGCGAAACAGTATACTCTGTTATGTCCACGGTACTGCTCATGTCTATAGGCGACTGTTACCACTTTCCATCAGGTGGGCCGTCAGCTTGTTTGTCATTCTAAGTTGTATAAAAAAAAAGAAACCGAAATGAGAACCTCTTTCTTTTTTAAGCCTGTTGGAAATATAGTTTTGGACATAATAAACCATTAATTAGTACTACGAAAGTGGATTTAAATACTTCAACGGAAACGAAAAATAACAGGTTTTCGCGTACAAAACTGTGAAAAAAAACAACTAGTCGCGTTAAAAGCTGTTTTGTAAATAGAACGTACGTTATCTTTGATTTCCGTCGATGAACGCCGGCAATTTTGTCAGGTTCTTTATCTAATGTCCACTGCAGTCCAGCTGTTTTGTGGACACTAGATAGGCGATAACAAAAATATACTGTAATTTAAGATTTTGTCACCCAAAAAACAGTGACTTCCTATTAAATAGTAATTAGATTTTTTTTCTTTAATTTAAAACGCACAATATTAATTAATGAACAATGAGATGTTTAGTGGACACCTTACATTTAAAATATTTAAATTTAAAACGCAGTAATTATGCGTTTTAAATAGATTTTACATTGCAACTTGCAACATATGCACGACGAACACGCACCTTTTTGATTGTTAATTCTGAACCGATTGGGAAAAATATTAAATTTTGTCTGTATGTTTGTTCCGGCATCACACAAAAACTACTATACTAAATTGGATGCGATTTTCACAGTTCTGTTACTAATGATCTAACTTAAAAATTCGTGTATGTTTTGTCTTAATACGTCATCTACAAATGGTCTATTTCAGTACTGAAATCTACACGTACGAAGTAGGGGGCAAAAAGCTAGTTAACAAATATTTTAAAATATAAATAATTTTTCTAAATCTTTTTTTTTTTATACAACTTCGAATGGCAAACAAGCTGACGGCCCACCTGATGGAAAGTGGTAACCGTCGCCTATAGACATGAGCAGTACCATGGACATAACAGAGTATACTGTTTCGCCCATGATACCCCCCATGCGTTGCCATTCCTGAGGACTCAGGTGTTATTCCTCGGTACCCAGTAAATTCACACCATATCACACCCACCCTTCAAACCGAAACACAGTTATGCAAACACAACTGCTTCACGGTTGAAACACGAATGGGACAGATGTACCCAAGCAATCGACTTTTGTACAAAGTCTCCCTCTGGTAATCTGTCAACAAAATGGCGAACGCAAATAAACTTAACAATAAACATTAAAAACCTTGAATGAACTGATTTCCTGATTGCCCTGTCATATTTATTACTTTTGTATTGAATTTAAATGAACAATACGACGTAAATAAAGTTAAGTTAATGTTTTCTAGAACAATTCAATATTTATCTGATTCGTGTATTTCTTTAGTTAATAAAGAAAAAACTTACTAACTGATAACTGTAGCAGTTATTACTGTTTATCATATCGCGTGAATGAAATCCCGAGTTTATTTCTCAGAGTAGAAAATTTACGAAACGTTTTCTAAATCACTTGATAAAACATTACTCTATATGTCACTTGGGCGATATGGTAATACGTAAGATAAACTTATCATTATAATATTATTATTTTCATCATCATCATCGTAATATCATCTGTTATCTGTCCACTGCTGAACATAGGCCTCCCCCATAAACTGTACATAAGGAACGATCCTGAGTCACCTCCACCAGAGGGAGACTTTGTACAAAAGTCGTTTGCTTAGACACCTCTGTTCCATTCGTGTTTTTACCGTGAAGCAATTGTTTGCATAGCTGTGTTTCTATTTGTGAATTTACGGGGTACAAAGGAATAACACCTGAGTCCTCAGGAATGGCAACGCATGGGAGGTATCATGGGCGAAACAATATGTTATGTCCATAGTACTGCTCATCGCTCTATAGGCGACGGTTACCACTTTCCATCACGAGGGCCGTTAGCTTGTTTGCTATTTTAAATTGCATAAAAAAACCTTCATTCACTGACTTCACTAACACCATTAGCCGGTACTATTTACAATAGTACCGGCTCGGCTCGCCAGGCCCAAATTTAGAGACGCGCTGGCGACAGCCTGTGCAGTCGAAGTCCGGGTAGAGAGCTCTCTCTGGAGACCCGTACTTTCATCCCCGTAAGGGGATGTAGACGACCCTGTGATAGTAGTGACACCGTTAGTTATATCAGCCATTATCAGTTCATTACTGAACATAGACCTTCCTCATAGACTATCCAAAGAGAACGGTCCTGATCCACTAATTCCACAGACACCATTACTTTGTAAAAATAAAATTGCCGGTTAGGGCAACTTTTACAAAGATTATCGCGTCAGCGTAAATGCCTTAGTTATTTTACTTTGCTAATTGTATTTCAACCCCATTATTGTGACGTCATGCCGCCAAATTTCGGCCCCCATGTCTCGTATCCAAGTAGCCATGTGCTATGATGTCATCATGGGGGAAACAGGAATGAGTCACGTTTGTAATGAAGAAAATCGTATGTGCTTCGATAAAGATTATGGACTTAATTATATTTTTATTTTTTGCTTGATATATTTATAAGGTAGGCACAAACCCATCACCTTATATGGAGGCCTATGTTCAACAGTCGATAATTAATTAGCTGATATGATGATGATATTTATAATGTAAATCATCTTTGTCAGGTCTTTTTCGAAATTGGTCAATTAAAAAAAAATGTTTTAGATGTTTTTTTATTTAATTTTGTCCTACTATCCTTTTGTCTTATTTACTTTTGTCACTCAAAATTAAGATCAATTTATTAATGTTGTTACTAACTGTCGTTATTTTTTTTTCTAAAGAAGAATTTATGTTAAAGTCATACGTAAGTAGATTTTTCGATTCTATAAATAATGAGATCTAATTACAAGTCTTACACAATTTTGGTTTAAAAAGTAAATGCAAACGACCCAATAATAACTGTTAGTATTTCTATTTATAAACTAAACATCGCCCACATGTCCAGTTAACAGAACCAGCGGACCGGGTCATAACAATGTTTCCACTTAAACTACTCGTATAAAATTTAACTACGTCAACTGTTGACTAAACTGCGAATATTATGTATACCCTTTTTAGATAATTTGCATTTATGTAGCGGTTAGAAATAACTATATTTATGGTAATTCTAACTAAATACAGTCAGAAACTACCCTGGGTAAATCATAAAGACTCCCATAAAAACGCCATGAATAGTTTTAATAAAACTAAATAACTTTTCCCAAGAAGCATAATCGATAATGTTAAAATATATTTTATTTTACTAACTAATAACTTTTATTTATTTATTTAAACTTTATTGATCAATAAAATGTGGCACAAAAGGCGGACTTAACGCTGTAGGCATGCTTTTACCCGCAACTTTGTCCGCGTGACTGTGATATGTTTACTGACGGGGATAAAAAGTAGCCAAGGACGTTGACTTACACCATCCCATACAGTAAGTATACATAAAATTTTAAAATGATCGGTTAAGTCGTCAAATCGCTAAGAAGTAAAGAAACAAATGAAAAAAACTCACTTTCATGTTTATATTATTAGTAAGGAGTCATTTATATAATAAAATATCTGTTTATGAAATATCATGTGTTTTATTAATTTTACTATAAAAATAAAGAAATTACTACCGTTTTATATTCACTGACCGGGATAAATACTAATCTTTGTCCTCCATCCCATATAGATTGCTCTCAGCAATAAGACCGCCTTACTGTACTTACACAATTGTATCGTTATATTTATTAATTGTCTTGTTTATGTCCTGTATTGTATAATGCAAATAAAGTATACTTCTTCATTTATTCTTATAATATGTGTATACATGAGAATGAAAATGCAGGTCAATTATCTTATCGCGATGAATACACCTGGAATTCAGCACGACGGTTGCCAGAGAGAACCACGTGGAGATCGAGCTGACAGGGTATATTGCTAGCAATGCGACTTGAAATCCGCATTACTAGCAATCCCCCCCCCCCCCCTCTTCTCGCATAATAAGCTGGTAAGGCGCAAAAATTTAAACTCACACACTTGTATTATTAATAAACAAGTTAGGTTTAATTTTATTACGATTGAATCCGATATTTCTTTCAGAGAAAGATTACTATTTGTGTCTAATCTATGTAATAAAAAAATATTATATGAGGTATTTTGAAGTGCTATTCTCACAGTGATACAGTTTTCTCTCGTGTGCCTACTAGGTTACACAATAGGAGGTCAAGCACCTACTCGCTCCAATTAGTGACGTCTCCATTGTTCCCGCCGCCACTGTCTGTAGGGCTGTTAACGGTTTGTTTTAATAATCATTATGCTAATGAGTTTTCTTTTTAATTTTAAACAGAGAAAGTAATCGTTTTTATAGCTGTCTGCAAAAAGAAAGCCATGATATGGTTGGCCGTTTTTTTTTTCTGGAAAGTTTTGTGGTCAGTATTTATTGTTTTTGTTTTTGCATTATTATGACCAATTTTTTTTTTTACACAAAAAGAGCTTCTTTTTGTAGACGTAGTAAAGACGTAGTAAAAAGTAGACGTAGACATAAATAGTTCAATAGACGAAATTATTATGGTAAAACCACTTATTTTCGTTTAAAAAAAG